AGAGTATTCAACCCTTTGATTGGCTGGGTCCAGATGACATAACGCTCATACATGTGCAGGAGTTGCTTTATACTGGCACAGAATCATGCCAAGACTGCACTGAGCTGTGCAAGCTCATCTCAGTGTACACTAATATAACTAAGTGCTGACATCTGTGACAGAAGAGACAGCACGGTCACTTCTATGATATAAAATAAAAATCCTCCTTGTCAACAAAAAAATTATAAAAAATACTTTTTCTTGCTTTCTATCATTACTAACTTTGTTTAACTTTTTAATAGATTGGATCTACTAGAATTTTTTTCCTAACCTGGAAGAAAAATAAGTTGTGAAATCTCAAAATAAACAAAAAATAATATATAACTAATATATCAATTTCTACTGCAAAAATAAATAAAGAAAACAATTTAATAAAAATTCAATAGTAATTTCATGCATATTAAAAGAGAAGTATGGTTTTTCTTTTTTTTTTTTTAAATCAGACATACCTAGGTGGATGCAGCATTGGTTTTATGCTGCATCTGTCCCCCACTGGCTCTGAGGGTGAGAATTGTGCAATCAGACACTGCTGATCACTCAGTTCTCTCTGCCTCTCTGAGCAGAGAGTGGTGACGGTCAGTCACCGCTGTCTGCTTTGTTTCCCCCCAGTGCTCACTGGAGCACTGGGCTGAGAAGGGGGTGGGAGCGGTTGACTCAGTCTCTCAGCGGCTTGTTGAGAAGCTGAGCCAGATGCTAGTCCAGGCTCCTGCGTAGATCCTGACCAGGGGCGGACTGACCATTTAGCCACTCGGGTACTGCCCAAGGGCCCGGGGTCAGTAAGGGGCCCCATGGGATGCCCCTGGTACCTTTCATAGGCTTTTTTGGGTGTGGTTTGAGTGTGGGCAAGCACACAGGGGCCCCATGATTTCCTATTGCCCGGGGGCCCCATGAGTTGTCAGTCCACCCCTGATCCTGACCATAGGCACTACAAAATTAAAACATAATCACATCCATAGTTGGATACAAATATAAACCATATAAATGTATATAAAAGTCTCTAAAGAAAGTCCACTGCACCACTATGCAAGATATCTTCTGTGTTTCTCAACTAAATCCTGTGCCAGTGCCACCAAGATCCACACTTCTGTGAAAAATGCTCACTCACCGACCCACCTGTAACCCTTAATTAAGTAAGGGTCAAAAAGCGCTTTGTAATGTGAATATTTATCCAAGTGTCCTGACCATCTGTATTATCTCCTCCTTATCCACTTGCTGGAACCTCCCTCTCCCATTAAATACATGACACCAACCAGAGAGAAATGTCTTATAGTGTAGTAAGTTTATTCATATATTTTATATACATTTTATATATGAATAAACTTAGTATACCATAAGACATTTTTCTCTGGTTAGTGTCATATATTTAATCAGAGGAGGTTACAGCAAGTGGATATGGATGAGATAATACAGATTACCAGGACGCTTGGATGAATATTTACATTACAAAGTGCTATTTGCCCTTTCAAATAAAGGTCACAGGAATGTCGGCATGTGAGCATTTTTCACAGTGGTGTGGATCTTGGTGGTGCTGGCACAGGATTTAGTTGAGAAAAAATAAACAGTGGTGTGGTGGACTTTCTTTAAAGACTTTTAGATACATTTATATGGTTTATATTTGTATCTAACTATGGATGTGATTTGTTTTTATTTTGTAGTGTTTATATTCCCTTATTGTTGTTTACATTTATAGTTATTTAAAGTGTTACTAAGCCCAGGACCCTGCATTCACTATATCTGGTCTCCCACAGTACATAGAACATGGAAATGCAATTATTTTAGTAAATATAAACTGCTAAATACCTTTTCTCATCAGCAGTATGTAACAGTTTTGTGACTTTTATCCGTGTCCAGAAGAGCACTGCTTAAACCTTGTAGAAGTTTCTCCCCTGCTTGTCCTATAAGGCTACAGGATACCTATCCCTCTGTCTGCACAGTGCCGGTTGGCCCTGTGCTGCTCATATGCACTCTCCATAGAGAAAAAACGAACAAAATCTACAAACATACTAAAATCCTCTAGCAATACACACCAAACTGAGCATGTAAAGCATGCCCCCAAGGCTCTGTTCTATCAGGAGAGGGACTGGGGACATTAGAAGGAAGGGAGGATCAGAGAAGACAGGATCAAACAGCCTTTTTACACAATGAGGAAGATTAACCCCTAAGGTTCCACAGTGGGTATAACAAGCAGGCTTTACTGCATAAACAGACTGATTTTACTCTTATGGCTTTAGAAACACTTTAATTTTAATTCATTTTGTCATCTTTACATTGGGGATTATAGTGCAGCTGCGCCATTTGGTATTGGGTTATGTTGTTTTTATAATAAGTGAGTGGAGTTTTTTTAATTTTAAGTTGTGAAATCTGACTGGTTTCTATGTGCAACCCAGACAAACCTGGGACCGAGTATCTATTTCTAATACGTAGCCATGCACCTCTATTGCCCATTAAAAAGTTGCTTTCCTTTTTTTATGTCTAGAGAACAGAAAAGGATAGATCAGAGAGTGCTGGCATAAAAGCTTGCAGGGAAAAATACAGAGTGAGGTCAGTACCACGAGAGCTCTCTGTGTGCCGACAGCTGGATCTAAAGGGCTCTTGCATTGTGTGAGATAAATATCATCTTTGGCATAGCCTGTACAATAGAGGAGATTTCAATTATAACAATTCAAAAGTCATTGCGACAAAACCAAGCTCAGCCGCTCTCTCACTATAAGGTTTGTAATAACACTCAGCAATAGTTGTTTTGTGCCAGTTCCATCATGTTCTCCATCAGAGTAACATTTATACCTTTCCAGTAGAAAGATAGAAAAGTAATTAAGGGTTTGATCAAAGCAGAGAGGAATTAAACTTTGCTACATGTTAGGCTGTTTTGAATGTGAAGCTGTGCAGTAAACATGGGTCATTCCTGTCTCTTATTTTTTAGTTTAGCGGGGAAGCCAACAATTTTCACATCTGCCAGCGTCTTTAAGAGACCTTTTAGCACGAATATTTCTAAGTCTGAACCCTAACTTTAAGTGTCAAGTCTCTATCCAATGATGTCAGATTGGCAAAGAGGGGTAGTCAATAACTGGTGTGTAAATGTCACATGATGACATGCATTTACCGATCTCTGAAGCAGACTGGTAAATAAATGCCATCAACAGAAAGATGTACTACAAATCCATCAGAAGGTAAAAACACAGAAGGATTTTTTAATGTCAACTATAACATCCAAATTTCACGCCTTTTGAAGTGCTGTAGTATGATTTTTTTTCTTTTAAATATAACTTGCACTGAAAAATATGCCAGGTAACTAGCATTTTAAGAAAAAGGCAGCCTAAACTTCAGAAAAAAATACATGTGAAAAATTGTTTTTAACAAGCACTACATCGTATTTTGGGATGTTATTAAAATAAATATAAATAAAAAATAAATAAATAAAAGTAATAAAAATAAAAAATATGTAATTTTTTAATGAAAACCACATTATAAGGTATACTATAATTAAAAATAAATAGACAATACTGCATTATTAGTAAAATACAGACCTACATACTTTTATCATTTGTCCACTTTTATAGCTTGTTTCATAAGTTTAAAGGGAGCAGATGCATTTTAACAATAATAATACTCATAATTACTCAAGTACAGGGGCGGATTGACCATTTGGAAACTCGGGCACTGCCCGAGGGCCCGGGGTCAATAGGGGGCCCCATGAGATGCCCCTGGTACCTTTTTCATAGACTTTTTTGAGTTTGGGCAAGGACACAGGGGCCCCATGATCCCCTATTGCCCGGGGGCCCCATGAGTTGTCAGTCCACCCCTGCTCAAGTAGGAACTCTTTTTGACATATACTGCAAGATGATTAGCAAAATTTAAAATCTAGAGCCTCAACGTCTTATTTTACTGCTGCGTGGATTTAAAGGTTAATCCCAATTTCCTTAAAATTATCATATAAAAGGTTTACACAAACCAATTTGAACTTTACTTTTAGCAAATTTCAATCCAGGTATGTGCTAGCTGGTTAGATACAGTAGATTAACATGTGATACAAGCAGCCTGTAATTTTTTTCCCAATGATCAGTGCCGCCGGCTACAGCTGGCAACACTGATCAATGTATTCTGTTGGCGGGAAAGGCAGGGGGAATCGCTTAACCTTTTTCATTCAACCCACCAGTTGAACAGAAAAAAATTAATCATGTATGGCCTGCCCTACACGTTAAACTTAACACGCCTATCACAAGATTATACAAGGTTCCAGCATGTTGTATGCTGTCTACAGCAAAATAATGTTACACAGGTTGTAGTCAGAACATAAGTATTAATACTGCAGTCCTTACAGCCCTGGACTTTTCCCCTTTCCTTTCCCTTCCTCTTACTCATGAGCATTTGGTATTCTGTATGCTGCCCATTGTGGAAGCTCCTATTTTCAGTCCTTATGGTAATTCATTCTTCTCTAGTCTCTGCTATGAAATGCTACTGTCTTTATCGTGTAGAACTGAAGAGGCAGAAGTAGGGTCAATTAGTGTTTCTCATGTACAGTATATTATTATATTCCTATTTTTGCCTAAAATATAAATAAATAGGACATATATTGACTGGTAAATGACAAATAATGAAAAAAAAATTTCACTCTTCAGTTTTTATAAATGATGACAGTCAGATCCAAAAATAAATTGCATTTCAGACACCTAACCATTTTCTGCTGTTTTAACATATATACGGAAAAGATCCATGTTACCATAGAGACTGAACGGAATTTTAAAATTAGAATTGTAAAACATTTCACAGAGCCGGAAAGGTTAAAAAAACCCTCAAACAAACGGTATAGATAAAAGAAGACTTTTAGGCACTAAACGTACAATATATAATGTATTGCAGACAGTTGGCCTACAGGCCATTTAAAGATTCTATGTTTCACATCGACAACTTTAGCATTACATTCATTTTATTCTAAGTTAGCTGTAGTCATTCATGGCACATACCTGTCTAGTGAAATACAGCAAAGGTGCAGGATAGAAGCTGTGGTTAGAAGAACATCAAGTGACGTCCGTACCAAGCAGAACATCTCCCCATAAATCCACTTGTCTTGGATTAACTCAATGGCTCCAAATGGCATCACTAATACTGACACCAGTAAGTCAGCAAATGCAAGTGACACAATGAAGTAATTGGTTTTAATTTTCCTGAAAATTAAAATACACTATGTTACACACAATATCAGACTAATTATGTCCAAGCAAAGCAAATCTGTTATGGATAAATGCGATTCTGTAACTTTTGTGGATGCTTTTAACAATCAGGGACTGCAGTGGTGCAAAGAATGTCAAATTTCTAGCCTTCCACTGTGGCTCTAATCAGACTGGCCTTAACTGCTGGATTCTCCTTATGAATAATGTGGCATTCAGAAAGATGTTTAGGGTCTGATCACACTTGTTTCTTTTTCTGCACTAGAACACATTTATTTTACTGCATGAAAGTGAATTTCAAGTAGATATTTTACTCTTTCACATCTGTGCATTAAATGTGCCTAGATATGAATGGGCCCATAAGGTCTTAGTCTAGTGCAGAGATCTATAAGTTGTATTCCCCATTGGGGTCTCTAAATCCATAAATGATATCCAATGCATGCATGACCCTTTGTTGTGGGTAATTTTAAAAGATACTTTAAAGGTGAATTTTTTTTTTTTTTAGAAACATATAATATCTGAATACAAATAAAGTTTGATTTAGCAGTAGTTACATGGAAAATCTAGCTTTGTTACAGTAAGTACATTGTTTGCTTTTTAAGCTTGATAAGGTTGTTTTAGTTTGGGAGTTTCGGCAAAAAATGGCACATGAATTGGGCATCAATATCTTAAAATGGACCTTGTAGTAAAAAACTAAACAGCTTAGGAATTTTTCAGCCTCCAGGAGCAATTGCCATAATCTGCAAGTATGGTTAATATATTTATACATTATGGCAGACTTCATTTTCAAAGTGCCTTTCTCCTGCATTGCAACAGTGGTGCTTCCCTTGTTGCCCCATTTCCAGTGTTTCTATCTTCTCCTGATCTCCTAAAGTCTTTGGCCATCTTGACTGGCTAGGCAGGAATGAAGTTGAACTTGGGAATTACTTTGGTCTCGCACAAAATCATGCCAAAAGTGTACACTAAGCTGCAAATGCTTGGCTCAAGGGGCAAAAAGGGACAGCTGCTCCAGGCCCAGTCATTGTTGTGGAGCCAAAAGAAGCTGCTCTTTCAGCCCTCACTGCCTATTCTTGCCAAGTGTCATGGATGCCCCTGGACAAGCATGAATTCTAGTAAGCTGCTGTTCTCGCTATGCTCTTTCCCATGCTGCGTCCTGGAAATCAGAGCCATGAATGGGACATTGCGGATAACTGTATCTCATTATTAGGGATGGCTGCCCACTGTCCGCTCTTCGGTACTGAAATCTCTGCCCTTGTATCTCCCCTCACCTTGCTCCCTCAGCAGTTTTTCAGGCACTCTCCTGCAGGTATAAAGGAAAATCCCTGGGGCAGAGCCTCCTAGATATTGCTGTTTGAGTGGGAGTGATGGGGATGCGCCCCACCTCTTGGATCATGCCCACCTGAAAGAAGGTGGTGTGACATTGATCTGAGCAGAGTCAAGAACTCTGTACACTGCTCTATATCCCACTGACTCTAGTACACTGTCCTGTTCCCTACCGACCTACTATCCTCTGTCCTGCCAACTCCTGTCCTCTGACCCCCTGTCTTCTGTCCTACTGTTCCCTGTACAGTCTCTACAGAGCAGCGTGTTTTGGCTGCAGGTGGTTGCAGGTGTGGGAACAGCCCCAAATCCTGCATCTGCAACCACCCACTACAGTGTCTAATACCCATAATCTCTTCTAAACTCAATACGAGCCACTACGAGCATTTTTTATACTGCGGTTTTTATCTCACATGGAGTCATGTAAGTGTATAACCATATTGTAAAGTATAAAATTGTTTACAATAATTTGATTGCCTCAGGTATATATATATATATATATATATATATATGTTTGTTATAGACGTCATGCCTTCTTGAGCACTTCTGAAGAAGAGATTTTTGTTGATCTCAAAATGCGCCAAGTGCAAACCATGCATGATCCATGATTAGATTTGCAACACCATCTCTGATGACACCACTGCAATATGTATTGTAGCTTTACAATTCTTTTTGAAGATTGTCAAAATAAAATTTCATACTGGTTTTATAAAAAATCTTTTTTGAATTGTTGAAATTTATCATACAAGTAAATTGTGCCATTAAAATCCCACCAAAAAAGAGGACTTTTCCCCCCCTGGATGTTGGCACTTTGTGTATTATATCCCTTCCTCTCTCTAACAACCTCTGGAGGAACCTTAGGGTTCCATGGAACCCTGGTTGAGAATCCCTGGTCTAGTTGGTGTGTTTGCCTCCCAGGTCAAAAGTGATGAGTTCTTCTCTGTACCTTTTACATAGAAGAACTAGTGCTTTTACTAGTTATTTGTAAAAGCATATATAATTATACCTAGTAATAGTTCATCACATTCATCTGTCCTCAGTTTACCAAACTTCCTTCCTTAGTCCAGACCAAGCAAATCACTTGGATGAAAGGTGAAACATGTTCAACATTATAAAACAAGTCCAGCTGAATGTGACTAACTACTGTTAACTATTCCATGACCTGGATAAATGAAAAACCATGACAGATGTATATTTTAATGAACGCATAACTAGATTAAATTACATTTTATATATCAGCCTTCAACATTGCAAACTTTTTCTTCAACAGATGTAGCCTTCAGCTTTTATTATTAATAATTAATAGTCTAGCTCATTGCACAATACTTCCAGGACATCTGTAACGATAAACATTTGAGCTTTTACTTTCCTCTCTTAAGAGATCACAGATTCATTATGTTCATTCCTAGAATCCTGACAGGTGACAAACTTAGAAGAATTAGTTGAAAGAAAAAGCAGCAACAGGCTAATTTCCCTGATATATTTATCTAGAATTACAGACAGGGTCAGGTCCCTGTTTAATGAGACTCTAAGATTATGACAGCACTCTTCTTGGCTTTAATTAGTGGTTGGTTCTCTGTGGAGGAGAAGGCGCTTTGTGGTTCAGGAAACATAAAGAAAAGATACATCTTCAGCTTCTTCAATGCCGCACTGTAAAGATGATCTTAGCAAAGCCTGGCTAGTTGTCTAAATCACAGTAATAAGAAACCATCCACTGTACTAAATGCTCTTTAGCTATTCCTGTCATAAACCTAGATAGCCACAGATGAAAAAACTGGCTTTTGATAGGGAAGAAGTATGGCTGTGTGTACCTTCAGTTCCAGGCTGGTAATTACTGCACTAAGAATTAAGCAGTTGTAGAACATATAGATGAAGGCTTTGCCTTTCTGCTCATGAAAAAATTACACTACTTCTGCAAGAACTGTCTAAATCAGCCTTTCTCAACCTTTTTGCTCAAGAGGAACCCTTGAAATAATTTTCAGGGGTAGAGGAATCCCTGCTAAAACCAATAAATCAGGAGTCAGTGGTAAGGTTGTCACCCCCCGCAGACATCCTAAAAAAGATCATTGCTGCTGACATTGCCAAGTGGCATTGCCCCTGTAACTATACAGACACCACCAAATGGGAAGGCAATCAGCCACAGCCCAAGGAGAAATCTCTAGAGGAACCATAGGGTTCCATAGAATCCTGGTTGGGAATGGTCAGTAATAAATCACCTCTGTTTAACTGACTGAACCTATTGCACAAGTGCAGAAGACTCAACAATTTTCTTGGTAAAACATATTTACAATGTACCTACCTACATCATTTATTTGTGTTTTTTTCAACTGCTTGCATTATAAGGGCTTTCAAATATGCTCTGAATAATCCTTGTTTTTTATAGTGCAGGGGATTTAGGAAGAGGACACAGATCTGTGCTGGGATGGGGGATTTCAGCCATGTAAGGGGGATTTGTACTGGGAGGGAGAAACATTTTTGCATGTTTTGGAAAACTGTGGTTTGCAGAAGGAATTTGTGCTTGAGGGGGTTAGCTTTTTTTTTTGGGGGGGGGGCGGTTGCTGAGATGGGAAAGTGGGGGGCGATTGCATGTGAGGATAATTTTGTACTACCCTGATCGCTGTATGTGTTACATATCCCTGAACTCTACACTCTGTGTGTTGCATGCTGTTGACCTTCACACTCTTTGCATTACACACCCGTGACACATAAACTCCCACTCCACTCCCGAACCCTGTACTCTGTGCTATACACTGCTGACCCCTACACTCTCTGCATTACATACCCCCAACCCCTAAAATCTTCTCAATATACATTCCTAAGCCCTGTACCCTGTGCATTATATACGTCCACCCCCTGTACTCTGTGCAATACGTACCACTCCTGAAATCTGTGCCTTATGCTTCCTTCGCCTACACACTCTTGTGTTACACACCTGACATTGTATGTTATACACTCTTGACCCCTGCACCCTATCCTTGTCACATTCCTGACCCACAAACTCTGTGTGTTACACATGTGTGACACCTGCATAATGTGCATTATGTACCCCTGACTCCTAAACTCTATACCTTAAATACTCTTGACCCCTGCACTCTATGCATTATGTATTCCTAAACCTAGCATTCTATACGTTATGTACTCCCAACCGTCGCACCTTGTGCTTTACAAACTCCTGACCCCATGCACTCTTTGTATTGCAAACCCCTGACCCCTGCACTTTGTGTGTTACAAACCTCTGCACTATATACACTATAGTCTGATCAAAGTGTTAATCTTCTCAAAAAATCGCTGATTGTTAAGCAGTCCATGACTATTTTAATGAATTTCTTCTTTAAGGTAGGGCTTTAAGTGTTAGCTCTCTTTAATTTTAGCATGCACAAATGCATATGCAATGTGTTTCATGTAAAAAAAAATGAGTGTGCTGAGGTTTCTACAAATCTGGAAGAGGCATGCCTGTGGCACAGCAGTTAAAGCATATTGTATGGGTATAAGTTACATACGTGGCATATGTGTGCTGCATAACCTACTGTATACCCAATGATAATTTATTTATCTATGCCTCTTTAAACTCCTTCCACCTTTAATGCAATCTGGCCACACCTACAGTTTACATTATTACTTATTTTGGGGTGCCCAAAGGTGCCCTAGGTATTTTGCAATCCTATCAGTGCCCCTTG